ATACATACACACAGACAGGCAGATATGCAGGCAAACATACACACAGACAGGCAGATAGGCAGGCAGATATACAGGCATACATACACACAGACAGGCAGATATACAGGCAAACATACACACAGACAGGCAGATAGGCAGGCAGATATACAGGCAAACGTACACACAGACAGGCAGATATACAGGCAAACATACACACAGACAGGCAGATAGGGAGGCAGATATACATTGAATATTCAATGGTTTAATGTAATTTCTACACATCAACACACTCATTCAACACATCAACATAAAGGCCTTAGAGCACAGCACAAAAAATAAAGGGAGATATAACAAGCAGGTTAAAAGAAGGGAATTAAAATAATAAAGATGCAGGCAGGTAGGCAGATAGGCAGACAGTTGGATGGATAGACATACAGACAGGCAAACAGACACACAGACAGATTGTCTGACATACAGACAGGCAGACAGACACACAGACAGATTGTCTGACGTACAGACAGGCAGACAGACACACAGACAGATTGTCTGACATACAGACAGGCAAGCTGACAGACAGATGGACAGACAGTCCGACAGACATACAGACAGAGAGAACAGCCATACAGGCAGACAAAGGAATTATGGACGTTCGGAAGAAACTCTCTCACTCACCTCATTGTCCTTGCCCACGAACTTGAAGACTGGCACCTGAAAGTGCTTGGAAAGCTGGTCTTTAGATGAGTACTGCTTCACTGACTCATCTGAAATACAGCTGAAATCAAGACAGAGTAGACGAGAAAGTGAAAAGGAGAACAGGGGTCACCTTCATCCCTGAGCCCACTGGCCTTAGAACCAACATTTTGTCATAAGACTGGTACTCAGCAAACTCCGGAGTGCTGTGAGGTACGTAGTTCGCCATGGCATTGCTGGATGGATGGCATTGCTGGATGGAATTGCTGGATGACTCGCAGGTCCATTTGAGTACGAGACTGTCTCAGATCAGATTACATTTAAGTGTCTGAGGTGTGANACAGACAGTCCGACAGACATACAGACAGAGAGAACAGCCATACAGGCAGACAAAGGAATTATGGACGTTCGGAAGAAACTCTCTCACTCACCTCATTGTCCTTGCCCACAAACTTGAAGACTGGCACCTGAAAGTGCTTGGAAAGCTGGTCTTTAGATGAGTACTGCTTCACTGACTCATCTGAAATACAGCTGAAATCAAGACAGAGTAGACGAGAAAGTGAAAAGGAGAACAGGGGTCACCTTCATCCCTGAGCCCACTGGCCTTAGAACCAACATTTTGTCATAAGACTGGTACTCAGCAAACTCCGGAGTGCTGTGAGGTACGTAGTTCGCCATGGCATTGCTGGATGGATGGCATTGCTGGATGGAATTGCTGGATGACTCGCAGGTCCATTTGAGTACGAGACTGTCTCAGATCAGATTACATTTAAGTGTCTGAGGTGTGAATTGGCAGCACTTTGCAAGTATGCGCCACATAGCATTGATCTTTGCTGACGGTATAATCACCCCAGAAGACACGCTGGAGTATCGCACAATTAATACTTACTGTCTGTCCTGCTTACTAACAGGTCAATGGTTATTTTTAGCTTTTTCTAAGTTTCTGTCAGTAAGAACATCACTAGGGTCTGAGGCAGAGACTAATCCTTTGTTGTGTGAGAGAACAAGGAGGGTTTTTGGCCACCTGGCAGATTAGAACCAGGGTCACCGCAACCAATCAGCTCACAGCAGATCTAAGCTGGCCCAGTTCACATGTCATGCCAGCAACTAGAGCTATACTGGTGGCAGAACCAGGGTTACATGGAAAAGTTTATAATCATTAAAAAACAAACAGATAAATAACCTGAGATGGTAAAAACATAAAACCGTCAGACAGCAATTATGTATGGAGAAGTATTAGGGCCTGAAAAGGAAAGAAAAAAAACATGGAAAACATTTTGAGATCAAAGCCAAAATATCCTTGAGATTAAAGTCGACATAAACATAAGAAGTCAAACGGCAGAATCCTGTCAGTGACGGTGAACTGTCCGTTGGAAGTGAATCGTCTTACACGACGACACCATACAGACGCCTCAGACTCAGCTGCTTTCTGGGTTCATTCCACACAAAATGAAGGCTCACATTTGCTAGGAGATGAGTTCCCAAATTTCTCAGCCTATGACCTCAAAATAACAGAGACCTGTGATCCCCACTCGGGCTATATTAGTACCCTCCAACCTTTATTAAGCTGTGAGTTACTGAGTCCTGACTGTATATTTTGCTGACCGGGGAGGCCCCGGTAGTCTCAGCGCAATTGACCGGTTGCAGTCATGATTAAAATGGGTTATTTTGCATGTTTTGTTTATAGACATTTTCTGCAAATCGCCTGTTCTGGCACCCTAGGTAAAATTTAGCAGACAACAGGAAATTTAGAGATGCTGTTTTGTAACATGTAAAAAAAACCTGTTTAAAAACAAAAGCGTATTAACAGAACACGCTGGACTACGACTCCCATCAGTCACAAGGCCTTGTTCCACAGTCCAGCACTATGGGCCCGGCCCAGCACGGCTCACCCGTCTTTGATGAGGTAGTACTTGAGGGCCTGGTCGGCCGTAGGGCCCGGCGTGGCGAAGCAGCTCTCCACCAGCGCGGCCAGGCCGGCGACACGCTCCTGCGGCTCCACGCCGAAGAAGAGCGCGTCTCGCAGGTGCAGGCGTGGCGGAGAGCTGTATGGCTCGGAGAAGTCGGCGCTCTTGAAGAGCTCCAGGCTGAAGGGGAAGATGCCACGGCTGCGGCCGGCCAGCTCCAGGGCGGTGCTGTGCAGGCTGGCTTGGTAGCCGTCCGACACCTCATAGTGGCGCGGGAACTCGCAGCTGACGGGCAGCAGCAGCTTGCTGGTGCGGACGATGATGTCGCCGCTGCTGCTGGGGCTGGACCGCGGAAGACCCGTCACCAGGTTGCTGCCCACGATCTTGTCATTTATCACCTGTGGTGCAGGTATTATCACTACTGTCAATCATCATTATCATAGCCATGGGGGGGTGGGGGGGCGGTTTATTAACGTTGTGAGCGCTGCGGCCGGCCGGGTCCTGACCTCCACCACAGTCCCACAGGTCTTCAGGCTGAAGCTCAGGGTGATGTGGGTCCCGTTAGAGATGCCGCGACAGGACGAGTTGGACAGGAAGAGGTCCAGCCCCCCCGCCAGGCTCTTCGGCACGGACACCTGTATGGAGCTGGGGTGGCACTGCACTGGCACTGAAATGGCACAGTGTCGCGGGTATGAGTGCGGGCACACAGACATACAAGCATACAGACAGACACATACAAACACACACAGACACAAACTGGCACAGACACACACATAATAGCACATATTGACAGTCAGACAGACAGAGACATGCTGTTCATATATTTCTATTCTTGTGGGGACTCTCCATTCATTTCTATGGGCATAACCCTAACCCTAACTATGATAACCCTAACCCTAACCCTAACCCTAACCCCTACCCAGCCTTAACCATAACTAACCAAACACACCAAAGATTTGGCTGTTTTAGTTTTTTGAGTGCATTCACAGATTTTTTTTTTAATAAAATTGAGGTTTATATTGTGAAGACCTGAAAAATGTCCCAACAACTAAAAAGTAACAGGTTTTATACAAATACAAACCAGCACATGCACACACGCACGCACACACGCACGCACACACGCACGCACACACGCACACGCACACGCACACGCACGCTCCCTACTCCCTTACCCTGGCAGGTGCGCTGGTCTTCCCCGAGCGTCAGGCCGCGAGGGCACTGGCAGACGTAGGAGTCCTGCAGCACGGAGCAGCCATGGCTACACCCACCATTGCTGTTGTGGCAGCCCTCGATCTCTGGGGGGGGGGGGGGGGTGATAAATGATCCTGCATTCCACCTTGGGAGGAAGGCCGGCGAGGCCAGGCAGGGGGGACCTCACCTCTGCAGCTCCAGCTGTCACTCCCCAGCACCTTCCCCGGGCCGCATTCGCAGCGGTGGGACCCCTTGGTGTTCACACACACCTCTGCACAGCCGCCATTGTTCCTCTCACACTCGTTCACGTCTGGCCAGGAGGGGGAAATGTCCCGAATCAGGACTGTCTCCCATCATGCAATTCATTCTCAATAAATCAATGCTCCACTCACAAGGTAGCATGCAGTGTAGTTAATTTAGCACAGAGTCTCATAATGAGCGGGATGTGAGTCCAAATCTCAGGAATGGTCTTGTGTATCACCAGCTAATATACAGCTCGGGAAAAAAATAAGAGACCACAGCAGAATTTCCAGTTCCACTATTTCTCAATTTATGAGTAAGCGCCTGTGTAAAATACACATTTGTTTTTGCAAACTCCAGCCTGGCTCTTCCCTGCTTCTCATTGATGAAGGGCTTCTTCCTTGCTTTATGGGTCTTTACACCATTTAACGTTTTCCATTCTTTTTGAAGGTCACTTGAGGTCATCCTCCGATTTATGAGTCACTGTTGGATAAGTTGACTGTCATCTCTGGCATTAGTAAGTTGCTTCTGCTCTCAACCTGGCTGGTTTTTGGTCATTGCCAGTGTCTCCTGCTTCACCTTGTTCTTGTGTCCTGCTGCCTAAGAAACTTTGACCCTGGAAGCAGCCTGCCTCGGAGTATGGTCTTCTGTTAGCAGAACCAAGATTAAACCAGGATTTTAAAATGCAGATTTTAAAAAAACAGAGTGGTCTTTTAATTTTTTCCACAGATGTATTACTTTGGATAAGATTTATCCAGGCAACTAAATGTACTCCCCATTTAATGTGTCAATTAAATTTAGCAACTACATTTAATTATGTGCAAAAACTCGATCTTATACTAGGATATATCTTCAAGTCCCTTCCAATTTTCTGTTATTTTGCCCCCCTCCCCCTCCATTGCCTTCGCTCACCCAGGCAGGTTTGACCATCAAGCCCCAGGACAGTACCGCTGGGACACTGACATTCAGCCGGCGCACAGCTTGGACCCTGGCAATCAACCTCGTCACAGATATCGTAGAAATCTGGCAGAAAGGCAGACAGACAGACGACGACTTATTACTGGACCTCTGAGACCAGACTGATGAACAGCATGTAACAGAGAAAGATGGAGCAGTAAACAGGAAGACATATACACACAAACTGTACCCCTCTGCTTTTTAACGGTTTCTATCAGCAGGAAAAGCCTATAATCTAACAATATAGCAACAGAGGGAGAATCAGGCAAAGAAAGACATTAATTTCAGGGAAATTCATAAATTACAATCTAATTTGATTGAAGGTTGATATTAATATACTGACACATTATAGATAATCATGTATTTCAATATATATATTTCAATGCATTCGAAGTGGAAAATGTAATGTGAAATGACTTTATAGAAAAAGAGGGCTACCTAGTGTAGTGTTTGTCAGACCGGCCCTAGGGGACCCCCGACAGTCCACAGTTTTGCGCTCTCTCAATTCCCTGCGAGTTGGGAGTTGGCAAAGATGTGGACCATCTGATGGTCACCAAGGACTGGACTGGGCAACACTGGCCTATATGATAGGGAAGCAGGGGAAGAATCCCGAGAAGAAAATGTGCTTAATGTTTAATTGTCCCCCCCTTATAAATTTGCCATTCATTGCTTATGCTGCCATATAAAGGTAAAAGGCAAAAACACCAAAACTACGTATTTTATCAAAACTGATGTATAACCAACAACATTGTCTTTCAGCCTCTGTTATCACCTGACAAAATATCTTAGTTCATCTATGCATCTATACTGCAGCAGTAAAAACAATCGACAATAAAACCAAAGCAAATGATCCCATTTTTTCATTTAAGTGACCCTGTATGGGATACTGGCTTAGGAGATGAATGGATGGATCCAGAGAGGCGGGCAGAAGAGCGGGTAGGTGGGGACTCACGGCCACAGTAGACATGGAAACAGACAGTGGGGCGTGGCAAGCGGTACACGTAGTATCCGCCGGAGCAGGCCTTGACATCCACGCTGGCATTCCATTGGCAGCAGTTGTCGTTGAAGCTGGCACAGGTGGGCAGTGTGACGATGCCACTGCCGGGCAGTGGGTGGCTGCCGTTGAGCCAGATGGGCGCGTGGGTGCCGCAGTGGTTCTCCGTGATGCAGAAGGTGGGCATGGCGTCTCCCGCCATGCCCGTGAAGCGGTACCACTCCCCGTTCATGTGGTTGTCGCACAGGGGCACGCCCAAGGAGCCGTTCACGTGGTGGTCCGTGTTCCTCCACGGCTCGTTCAGGCTGATGTAAGCGGAGCACGGGTCCACGGCTGCAAAGAACCAAAGGTCATACATCATTCTGCTCATGGTGCTTCATTAGAGGGATGCTGGATACACCTGCCGGCTTAAATAATGATTACATTCTTAAATGGATATTAAAGATGTCCTGTGATGGTCAACGGGAATGAGTGAGTGCTGGTTTCTTCAGTCTAATGTCTTTCATTACTTTCCAAAATTAGGTTTTTCGTCCTGTGAAGCTGGATGTTAAATATGATGAAATTGTCTCCTATGCCCAAAGTGTCTGAGTTGGTGTACAAACCTCATGCCTGAAAATGGGGACTCATTCAGTGAGAGGGGGAGCAAAAGGCAGCCCAGTATCAAGAGGATTAAACAAACTGAATCAGACAGCAGACAACAATCTACAGCCCCCAACGACCAGCCCCTCCTCACTCTCCAGTCTAAGTGGCAGAATTAAGCCACTATTAGTACACATAGGCGCATTAGCAGGGATGAGGGACAATCTGAAAATGGGAACGAGCAAAAGTTAATCAGCCCTGTGATGGACTGCCGTTCCACCCAGGGTGAACCCCAGCTGTGCCACAGGCTTGCGGGCCCCCCCACCCCCCACGACCCCGTCCAAGATAAGCAGTTAGAAGATGGATGGAAGAGTTAATCACGCACTGTCAGTGGCACGGCCAGGAGAGACATGAGCCCTTCGGCTGTAAAAAGGTGACAATGCCAGGATGTCTGTGACAGGCAGCTGAACCCGAGAGCCATCAATCCATCTGGTTTAGCAAGTGAGAGAGAGAGTGAGAGAGAGAGACAGAGCGACTGATTAGCACTCTAGTGTTCACTCTTTCCTTAGACAGTTGTGGGCCACAGAAAACTCAGGAAACATTTTATCTAACAAAATTCATGACACAAAGTTTATATAGAGCCTGTCTGAAGACATCCTATCTCAGAAGGATTCCAGGGACATGCAGGAAGAACTGGAGGCGAAGGACAACCGGAGGTTCAGGTCAAGGCCCCAATGTTCATGACTGGAGCCTTCTGTTGTTCATATGGAATCCTGAATGACCATCTTTTGCGCTGCCTTGATACGGAGACACAGGTGTGACGCTTTGTGCTGCGGTGTCGCAGCCCTTTAGGTGAGCACAGGGCTGCTGACTGCTTACAGGCTGTGACTGGGCGTCATCGCGTTCTCATGGCTCCCAAGCTAGTAGAATTACTGGACCATCAACAATTATGTTAGTATAACATAATATAAACTGGACCTATAAGTTAGTAATTATATGGTGAACCTGTTCCCTCCATTATGTTAATCTGTAATTACTTATTATGTTACAAAAACTAATTCTGCCGCTCAAATATAGCCAATACATTTTCAAAACATACGACAAATGCGTAACTCCTTAATAAATCTTACTTCAGTGCCTCCATCTGTCTTATAGCTGTGGTGAACATTGGGAAATTCTTGAAGCGATTTAATCCCTGTAAACCACACTTCCTCACCAGCATTCTGAGGTGGTGTGTAGTCACTCACCTGCAGCCTCTGCCTGAGGCGTGTCCCATAGGAGCAGAGAGAGGAATAGAAGCACCATGTTTTGAGCGAGACGGACCGTGGGCAGCGTCTACCTTCAGTGAGCTTTTGCGTGTAAGATGGAAGAGAACCTGCTGGAATATCTTAACTTACTGCGAAGACTCTGAGTCACTTCAGGGAAGGGGGGTGGATTTTAATGGGAGACTTATCTCTCGGCAGGAAAGCACAACTGGGATAGTGAGGAAAAATGAGGATGGGGAAGGAACTGTGTTTAATTTAGTTCGGCGTCTGGCTACAGACATTTCTCGCCTTGACTTTCAACCCCCACCTTGCGCCAATCTATGCGGACGCCTCCATCAGCCACTGACAGGACCATCCTTCCATTGTTTGGTGGTGACATATCTCGGAATAAGCCCATGTAGGACACTTCCGCCACCATTCCCAGATACTGCAGCCAGACTTTCTCTCTATGGCAATGAGACCAGAATGATTTAATATTCTTTCTCAATGCTATCAGTGTCCCCCAAGCCTCAACCAAATGGCCAAATTCTCAGCTCTAAGATGCTGATCCCTCAATCTCGAGACCCCCGTTTGCCCCACAATACCCCCTTTCTTGACTTACCACTCTCTGGCTGCAGCACATCTAGGACATGGGCGCCTAATGGAGAGCAGATCCAGCTGAGCACAGCCTGTCCGCAGCAGAGGTCAACCAGAGCACGACAGCCCTATTATGGATGCCCCAGGGAGAATTCAACACTGCGGTGGGGGACAAGTCAGGCATGAACGTTCCTTAAACAAGTTTGTTCATTATTATAAAGAATTAATTTTAATAAGCCCTGCGGCTTAAATTTTCAATGGCCCACAACAAAGTGCCAGCCAATTTAACTTCACTTTAATTTAAATTAATTACCTTAGCCAATAAAGGACATTAAATGAAACAATGCGGAATGGGCCTAACTTTTCACATGACTGCTTAGTGACATCTCCTTACAATGGGTGTAGAGGAAAGGCGGGTCCTACACCAACCTGGGGGCTGGGCATGGCGGTGGGGGCACTGGAACGAACTGACGCATCAGCCGCCAAGGTGGACGAAGGAACAATTAGCAAGACAAAGCATTACAGAGAAAGGTCGTGGGTTCGGCTCGGAAGCGAGGCTGCTTATCAACAGTTTCCCTGCTTTAAATAGGCACATAACGCGCTGAAAGGATACAACCTTTCCTGGCATTTCAGGACAGATTATCTGTCAAGGCAGTGCAGGGGTGCAGCGGCACGTCCCCGAACCACGTGTGTCTGTCAAGCTCCCACAAGCCATTAAAATAATAGATGTCAGCGCCGACCATGTCGATAAGCAGACCTTGGTACAATAACTAACCGTTCGAGGGACCAGAGCCACAGAGGAGGTGTTGTTAAGGAAAGTGAGGCGGCCTGAAGATAAACATATGAGTGACGAAGGGCTAAAGATGGACGGGCCGTTGGCTTTCTGGAACTACAGACAGGTCCTATCTCAGGAGGATGTTGGTCAGATACCGGAAGCAGCGGAGGCCAAGGATGACTGGAGAAGCAGGTCAAGGCAGCAATGTCCAAACCAGGAGCTCTCTCGTGTAAACACAGCAGCCCCGGAACACCATTAAGGTAGACGTCAATCATACAAAACCGTGCCAGAGCAGAAGGCATGGAGAGGCCGTAAATAATCCCCACCCTGTGGTGACGGACTGGCATCCTCTCCAGGGTGTGCTCTCGCCCCATGCCCTGTTTCGCCTGGCACAGGCTCTAGGAACCCTGTGTGTGTGACCGGGATACTTATCTCAAATCGTCAGTGGTGTGTGGGCAGAGGTGGCTTAATGGTTAGGGAAACGCACCTGTAATTGAGAGATTGTAGGTTCGAATCCCAGACCAGCAAGACACCACTGAGGTACCTTAAACAAGGTACCACCCCCAAGCACTGCTCCCCGGGCGCCGAATTAGCTGCCCCCTGCTATGTCACAAATGGGTTAAATGCAGAGAGCATATTTTGCTGTGGTGTGTCAACAATAACCACTGGTCACTTAATTCTAATTTAAAGGGATCATGCCAAGAACAAAATACCACACAACAAAGTGTTCCAAAAACTGGATAAGTATTTTATTGATAACTGAATTACATTTCTCTTTTATACATATTTCATAAATGATACAGGATTTTACATTGTTTAAATTTAGTTTTTCATCTCAATAAACATTACAGCATCCAATGCCAACAGAAGAAATGGAACGGGGATCCCA